GGGGTGGGTTGGGTGGGGAACATGGGAGGCAGGGAGGGTGAGGGAATGGAGGGATAGATATGTAAATATGAATAATTAAAAGTAATAAAAAAGAGGGGAAAAGGAAAAAAGAATCCTCTTCTCTACACTGTTGTGGTTGCAACAACAATTAAACAATAATAGCAGCTATTTTTAATTTTTAGTTCTTCCTGTGTGCTAGTCATTTTGCTGATTGATTTATATATGACAGTTTGCCTATTTGCAATGCTATATTTTCTAATATTGTATTTCTCCAGATTAAAAAATGAAACAGATGCACAGAGGTAAGGATCTTATCAAAAGCAGGCAGTAGGAGAGGGTGTACAAAGGTTTGGTCCTCTGTATAGTAAATTCAGAGCCTAGGCTCTTACCTATTGCATTATATTAGTACTTAGTAATTGTACCACTTCCAGACTCAGAGTGTGGTATCTGGCAGAACCAGAATACATGTGGATGAATTGCTTTGCTCTGCATCTATGCATAGAGAAGTCCCCTGAGGTGTTTCTTAGACCCCTGCCCACTAGGTAAGGAGGGACACTGAAGGGTCATTCATTCACCTGTCTCCACATATATTACATTGCAATGTGAAGTAGAAAGCCAAGAAAAGCAATCTTACAATTTACTTTATTACTCTGTTCTTGTATTTAATAACCCTTCCTGTCATCAGATTACGAGCTGTAGAAGGTCAGAGACCATTTCTTTTATTGTTGTGTTCCACAAGCCCATAGCACTAAGAGGGTGCCATGAACTTAACTGTAAATTAAACAGCTTTGAACAGTATCTCCCTAAAGTCCTCTCCAGGAGGCAGCATAGTATAAAAGATGAGGCTTCAGCAGATTACAGGTTCAAGTCTTAGACCCTTCTTTTGCAATTTTAAATCCACTTTACTGTTGAGTGTTGACTTCTGACTTGTTAGTTGTTGTAAGGATTAAGTGAAAAAAGTGAAGTACACACTAAAGCATCAGTTCTTTTCCTATTAAATTTCGTCATTATTTGCACTTAATCCTAATGAGTGCTGGACACTGTATTTCTATAGTGCCCTTCTTATGAGTTGCTATACTCCAGGTCATCTGGGTTTTTCACTTTAACTATATTCACAATCCTTGGAGCTACATAGAAGTTGAAACAGTGCTGGCTGACCTAACATACTTATAAAGCTTTAATCCATGGCCCAAATGATCCTGAGATTCATGGAAATATCTGGAAAACTGTGTCCATTTGAAAATGAATGCCAGCCATCTTTTGGCTTCCAGACAGCTAATTAATATTAGTTACAAGCATACTGAGTTCCCTCAGGAAGAGCCAATTTCTTCGATGGATATCTGGAAATAAATTGAAAGGCAGACAGACATGGAAACAAGCTGCATGAAAACAAATACAAACAGTCAGACTTGGAATCCTGAGACTAAGTGAAACAATACTCTTACTCCATCCATTTTTCTTCTTTCTAATTTATAGCCCCATATACTATTCTGCTTTGATATGCATTAGAATGGAAATGTCTGTTGATTTATGATTGTGCTATCCAAAAGGTCAATATAAGAAGCCTATAGTAGTAATGTGGTGTCTAAAGCTACCATAGATAAAAAACTTCATTAACTCTCCATGATCAGCAAGCTTCTGCTTCTAGACATCTTTGTTTCTTTCTAGACTCTTAGCTTTACTTTCTAGCTGATGTTTGGGCAGTCATGTTGGTGAGACTTTATGGGAATAACTTCTGATATAACTAGGACATAATCTCACAGCAAACTCCCTGATTCCCTGGATCTTAAAATCTTTCTTCTCCCTCTTCTTCAATGTTTCCTGAGCTGTAGATTAAGTTGTTTTGTAGATGTATCCCCTGGGACTGGCACACAATTCTGTCTTTTCATTGATTGTGGCTTTCTTTAATGGTCTTTTTAAAAGAAGTTTCCTTGATGGGGGATGAGGGCTATATTTACCTATGGGTATAAGGACAAATATTTGGAGTATAGTTAGGGATTATGCTGGTTTAGTAAAGTGGTGGCTATAAATTTTCCTCTAAGATCAATGACTACACTAGCCCTGGGTAGGTGGCAGCTGTCCAGTACTATTCTATTTCCCTCTTGCTGAGTTGGTCTTAATGTCAATTATAAAGCTGTTGGTTACTGCTAGGGTATACATGGTGTGCCACTACTATACTCTTAGAGTTATTGTTGTAGTTCATAGACATCAGAGCTGGGTGGGACTACTAAAACATAGGTTTTTAAATTTTTTTTAGTATTTCATACATACACGCAATATATTTTGATCATATTTACTCCACTCCTACTCAGAACTTCTAAGATCCATCCTAGATACATTTTCTCCCCTCTCTCAACTTCTAACCCACCTATTCCAATTTGTGGTACCCATGTACTTAGATGTTTAGAACCATCCACTGGAACATGACTAACCTACCAAACACCATACTTTTAAAAAAAATTGACTCTCCCTCCCCAAGAAAACATCTAATAGCAAAGCTCTTCAGATAAGTATGGAGGATCCAGAGCCATTCCCTGTCTTAGCTGGAATGCTGACTGGCTTGATTGTTTGTAAGTATTGTACAGGCAACCACAGGCTTCTGTGACTTCCTAAGTGCAACAGTCCTGCAATGTTCAGAAGACATTATTTCACTCCCATCATTCCCGACTTCTGGCTCTTACATCTTTCTTCCCCTACTTGAAGGGTGGCCTCTAAACCTTGAAGTGGGGTATGACATAGATATTTCATTTGTGACTGAGTACTGATATTTATTCTGTGCCCTTTGGCCAATTGTGAATTTGTATATTAACCACAATACTGCACAAAGAAACCTCTCAAATGTGATCTGAATGCTGTTCCATTTTGAGTATAGAAATAAGAATTTAGAGGGCAGTTTGATGCTGTGTCCATTTAGTAAAATAATAATAGCATGTTCATCCCTGGGACATTTGTTCTCCTGACCCTTTGATTCTTGGCCAGGTTTATAATACTAGGCATGTTTTTTCTTCTGTGAAGTGGGCTCTAAATGCAACCAGAAAGCAGTTAGTTACCCAATAATATTTGTACCACTATTGCACCCATGGACATACATTGCCCTGTAATTGTTATTGTATGTAGTTCACAACTTGGTAAGGTTGTTGATGAGATTTTTCTACCAAGTATCCTGAACACCAACTTCTGGTACTTCAAAACCTATCCAGTAAGGGGGAAATTTCTAGTCAGTTTCCAACTTGATTTTTTTCATGGCTTGTGACCAAAGTGTGTCTTGTCTGCAACAGTAGGCTCTTATAATAAAGTTATGGTAGTTAATTGAGAGCCTTGGTAATATCCTGTATTATTTTGGAGAATTTCTGGTACACATATGACAAACAACTTGAGGGGGTCATATCCTGAAGCTGATAATAGGCTGTTTATTTTGTCATCTATGGATTCTGGAAGGAATATTGTCCTCACTGTAGAGTAATTCACTCTTTTATATGAATATATCTAAGGAAACAAGGGGTAAGAAAACCCATAGCTCTTCACACTGTGTGACATAAAATACCCTCTCACATGTTAGTTTTGCTTCAAAATTATCCAATTTTTAAAATTAGAAAGGAATAAGAGGCTGTTTAGGCTCATGTACTTTATCTATTTCAGTAATTTTTATTGATTTTTTTATAAAAGTTATATATTTTTATTGAAGACAATTTAAAGTAGGGATAAGCAAAAATAAGATAGAAAAGTGTCCATTATTTTACTTCAAAAGCACTACTAACAATTTGCTATATTTTTATTCTTCCTGTTTTAAAATCATGTGTGTGTGTGCAATTTCCACAAAATGATACTGTGTAATTGTTATCCTATTTTCAGCTAAAATATTTCATAAAAGACCTTTTATATACCTTCATATTTTCCCAAAGTTATTTTTAAAGTCTATACAGTCTCCCTCCATTTCATTGAGCTGCAATTGCTAAATTGGCAGTCATTTCTATATTGCTAAATATTTCGTTATCTCTAAATCTATGCTATTTAAATAGTATGACATTGTCTGTCTTTACAGATTTTTACACATCTATGTTAGGTTTTCAAGAACTGTTGTAGTACTTTCACCTTACACAGAAGCAAATTACGGCACAAAAATGAAGAATCCACTGTCTTAATCAATGCAATGAACTCCTGTCAGAGCTAATTCTAGACTATTCAACTCTAAAAGTTTGGTTACTCATTCCAACCTTTACTTCCTAGTCTCTCTCATAGAGTTCTTTTTCTAGTTATCTCCAACTGTTTCCTTAAATCCAATGGCTAAGTTAGCTTTCAGAAACTATGGAGTTTGGCGGTCACACTTATTTAGCAAGTCTTCCACTGTCATCTCCTTTGACCATGGCCTTCATTACTCATCAGTCATAGAATTCTTCTCCCCTAACTCATCTGTATCTACCTCAAAATAACACTCTAGGAATCGAGCACAAGTACCTAAGAGTGTCCATATGATATGAAAACTCTTTTATCCTAAGTCCAACTCCTTTAATATACATGGAAAAGTCTGTGACTCTAAGGAAAATCTTTGGACCTGGAGTCAGAAGAAAATGGCAGTGACAGTATTGAAACAGTTACTTTACAAAAGAAAGAGTACTTCCTTTGTGTTTACATGCATTTTGTTAAAGAATAATTTACTTCATTTCAGCTTTACCATATCTTACAAAGTTCAGTATTAGTGTTCATATATCACAGGTACTAAACCTCAGGCATAAATTTGAACAGGATTCATGTGCCTGGCATGGTGGTGTGCAGCTATAATCCCTACAAATTGGCGGTGAATTGAAGGAGAATAACAAGTTCAAAGTCAACCTTGGGTACATGTCAAGAAGCCATCTTAATAAAAACAAACAGTGATGATACAGAGACTAAGCACTGCAGATGCCAATTTGTGATATTTCAAATTTGCTCTTTTCTCCGATAATGTCTTTTCACTAAACCACCATGCACTAGAGAGATCATCTGTTTTTATCTCATTTCAGGAGAATTCTTGAGTTTTGCTGATGACTTACTCTCTGGCCTGGGAACATCTTGTGTAGCGGCTGGTCGAAGCCACGGAGAGGTCCCTGAAGTCAGTATCTACTCCGTGATCTTTAAGTGCCTGGAACCAGACGGTCTTTACAAGTAAGAAGGGATGGGTTTGTGGGGAGTATGAAGTAGTGAGTGAGAGTTAAGCCTGGGAGGGATAATAGGAGTAATTCTTTTCAGAGCAGCCCAGTGTTTCTTAGCTTGTATGCATGTGACCTTGGGAGTAAAAGTTTTAGAAGTTTCTGTTTAGAATGTAGACCACGGTGAGGCATGCAAGGTGAGTAGTATAGGGTCCATAGAGGCTGGATACTAAATTCTATTGTATTGTTCCTAATGATGAGTAATCTGCAACCAAGAAAGGGTCGACAGTTTACTCTGGGTCACAGAACAGCTTATTATGGTGGGCTGCCATGGCAATCCATGCCTACTGCTCTTTTCTGTTTATCATAGTGTCCCTGAGATATGTGTATGTGTATATATGCATATATTAACTTATACTCATATATACAGCTCACATATGCATCTTCTTTGATATGTGTGGGTATGTGTTTATGCTTGTGTGTATATAAATGTGTATTGTTGAGATGTTAACTTTTCAACAATTACTCTTTTGTTTGTATCTTTTATTTACTCATTTACTCATTTTTCTTTTATTTTCATTATTTTTTATTCATCACTTAATTTATACATCTACCCAACCATTCATTTGTCCCCCATTTATCTATCCTTCTGTCTCTTCTTCCACACATCTATCCATATAATTTATCCATCTGTTTATATGTTCTCACATAGAGTTTTCATTCACTCCCACATTTTCTAACAGTCTTCATACTGCACTTCAGGTATCCAGGGGCCTGACAAAATAGGCCCTATCCTCGAGTAACTTAAAGCATGACAGTAATATGAAAGGTTACATACATATGGGCTTTTTATATTTACTTGTATAAACTTAAATAAGTTGCTCTGCAAATATATCGATAGACCAAACTCAAAAATATGAGAACTGGACCTTGTAAGCCAGACTCTACAATCTCACATTTGTTATGATTCAAACTTTCTCTTAAATCATGTGAGGTCAGTGAATGCTATAGAAATATGGGTTCTGCAGTATACAGAGATATCTGTGCAAGACAACCAGAGAAGTATGATTGTGCCTTAAGGAACAGCCATGGACTTGATGGTTAGTAAGAGGACTGCATTTAGGCTTGGGGAGCACAACTCTACAGCCTTGGAATCAGTTCACACTGGGTGTCTAGGCTCTGGAGTCTCTGCACCTGTGCAATGCAGCAAGCACACAGCTAAAGTAAAAGCTGTACGATCTTTGACACTAAAAACTCTGACTCCATTGAGACGTAGAAGTTTTAGAACATTTTCTGATGGCTGAATTCTGATACCTCTGCCCCTCCTTAAGGGCATACACTAGAAGCAGATAGATAGATCTCAGTTCAAATTAATGCCTTTCTCTTTATTAGTGTTCATTCACTGAGCCTCCAGTTCCTTGTCTGTGAGAATGTATGTGTCTCTTGGAGACTTTTCTCTTTTAGTTCATCTTTCCATCTATCTACCTGTTCATCTAACTATCTACCCTTCTAGGCTCCTTGGTGTGAGCCTCTAATTAGAGTGTAACAAGTATCGACTGTTATCTCTGTTGCTGTTGCTACCTAATTATGGCAATTGTGAATTTTCTCAGTGCCCAGTCTATCCCTTGATTTATGGGTAAGATGAGTAAGCATATGAGTAACAGGTCAGAGCCTTACCTGATGGTTCTCATCCTTTAAGTCAGAAGGAGTAGCCCTATCTTTGGGTGGCATTGTAGCAACATTGTGTTACCTTAGCTAATGTCTACAAAAAGTAACGTGATGTGTTTATAAATTCCCCCAAAGCAATAGATGCTGAGAGTTAATGAATCTGCTACTATCCTTTCATTATGTCAGATATTTCTCTTCATTTCTTCTTTTTGCAATGACCTGGCACATCTCTGCTTCCTATCTCTTGGGGTAGGGTCTCCTTCCTTCCTCTGCTTTGGGAATGTTTTTGTCATGAGTTTGTCTTCCCTATCTCTGGACACCTCTGTGATTTATTTACTTTCTTTTTAAATAGATTTTATTCATGGCCCTGGGACCTGGGCTGCTCTGACAGGGAGCCAGGGTGTTGTTTGGAACAGTCCCCCATCCCACTGGTGGCTCTCCTCCCGTGAATTCTGACCGACTTGGTCTTGAGTTTTAAAATAGCTTCCATATCTGTTCTTGGGGTTTCTCATTTTCTGCTTGCTCATTCCTCAGCAAAATTTCTCTTCTTCCTTCTGAGCCAAGAATAGTGCATGTGGCAGGAGAAAGAGCCTAGGCTTTGGGGACAGGCTAGACTAAGTGAGATCCCCATTCTTCCCCTGTGTGCTTAGAAAGAGCATAGGCTTTGGGGACAGGCTAGACTGAGTGTGATCCCCATTTTACCCCTGTGTGCTCAGAAAGCGTCCCAGACAAGTGATCTTCCACTATTCTAAGTGACAAATTCTTCCTCTAGAAAAAGGTTGGTAGTCACTCCTGCCTCACAAGGTTCTACAACAGAGAACTTTATTATGAATATTAAAAAGTACTAGAAGCACAGTTTGCCAGAATGCCTGGTGCATAGGAGGCCATCAGGAAGGGTTAATAATTTTCTCCTGCCCATTTTGATTTCTGACTCAATCCCTCATTACCAGGGTCATTTTCTTTCAAGGACAGCTCTGGAGTAATAATTGGTTTCAATGAAGCAAGATTGGGTCCTACCAGCTCTGAAAGGTATCCTCTAGGATGACTAGGAAAGTGGAAGGGGCAGATCCAGAGAAGAAAAGACTCAGAAAGAGCAGAATTTTCGTGACAAGCCTAGTCAGACACTGTGTATTCCATCCAAGCTCCCCAAAAGATTAACTGGCAGGAAAGAAGAGGACCTCTTAAGTGACTACCAAAGAGCCTGGGCTCATGCCCTGCTTCCTCTGCTTCTTCGAGGCTTGGACTCCATATGGCCTGCCTGTCCTGAAGTTGAAGCAACTTGTAATGAAGATGCCTTAGAGTCACTGTAACTTGAGAGTTCTGGGTATCATAGTTTCACCGTGGAATCCATTCTCAATCCCTGCCCCAGGACTCCTGCCCTTCCCAATTATCTGCTTCTGTCAGGGCCTCTCTGTTCACTTATTACTATCTCTTTATCTTATAAACTTTCTCTGGTTATTTTCCATATGGATTCCTGTCTGTGTCTGTCATTTGCCTTCCCATTTGTTGTTCTCCTAAGGTTTTATTTATCAGAGAGCATCTCAGTCTCTCCGCTCTATTTCTCATTTGAATTTTTGGCTCTGCCCTTTCTCATCTAAACTCCCTTTCTTTGCCCCACCTTGGAAGGCAAATTGCTTTTGCAGCCCCTCCACCCATGTAGTTTTACAGTGCTTCAGGGTGAGACCAATTGGAGGAGTGAAGATCAAGACTGATTTTCTGTCCTAAGCTCACCCTCCTGTAACAAACCAGAAACATCAGCAACCGTGCCCCATTTAAATTGAATTTCCTTGTTTGTTTCATTTGTTTTGCTTTGAATGAAAACAAACAAGAGCATAAAAAGGAGAGGGTCCCCCAAAGGCCCAACAATGGGCCAGCTTCTGATCCCCTGGGTAGTTGGAGTCCAAGCATGATGGGAGTGTCCACTTGGGCCAATGGCTGAAGCCAGGCTAGGCATCTGTGGTCCCTGTCCTTACCTGGCTAGAAGCCTAGACACTCTTCTTGTAACTGCTTTCCAATTTCCTATTACTCAAGGTAATTAGCCTCTGTCTTGTCTTGGCTGCCTTGCCTCCTCTAATAATGGCTGGCTGCCAAGGGGTCCTCAGTGAACATGCCAGGAGCAGCCAGGCTTGATTCCTAGGGTGGGGGGCTCATTCCCACACATTCAGAGGCTTGCCTCAGGCCCACCTTCACCTCTCTGGCTTCTGCTCTATGAAAGGAATGCCAAAAGAGCCTGGGTACTTCATCCAAGTGCCAGCATCCGTGGTGGGAACAGAGTCTCAGAGGAAAGACTTCGTTCTAGTGGGTGGGGCTGGACGAGTAGAAAAAAAAACAAGGCCCTAGAGGAAGAAGGGAATTGCATAAAACAAGGTTCTGAGGTCAGAAGGCAGACAGCCATTCTTGCTGCTCAATACCACCTTGAGCCAATTCCTCCTCCTCCTCCTCCTCTTTCTCCTCTAGGAATGAAGTTCTGCATGCATAAAGAAAAGTTAAACTCAGTGGTCCTGAGACTTATGCACTAGGTAGACATTCAGAACCTAAACCAGAATTCTGGTTTTCACAGGGCTTCACCTTCACTTTCTGGATAATGGTAATAGCAATACTCTTACATGAAAAAATCACTGAACCAGGAACTATGCAAGGCATACATGTGATCTCATTTAATTCTCACCATAGCCCTATGATTTTACAGTCACATAACAAAGCGGGACTAGAGCTGACTTCACATCCCAGGTGCTCACAATGCACGCACAAAGTTCTACACATGCTCTTGCCCACACATGTGGGTGGAGTTGTAAGAAGAACCAGAAGGGGGCTTTGTAATAGCAAGCAACATTGATAACAATGGGAGGAATGTCAGACTTTGATACCAAAAAACTTAGATCATAGCCTTTGCATCTTAGGAAGTGCTTCAGGCCTCATCTTTCCCATCTATATAATAAAGATAATTAACCTTCTCTGTAAACTAGGAGATAACAAACTGTTTTTTCTAAATATCACACAAGATATTAGGTGAAATGATAGTTTGATATGTTCTTAGATTGTGGGCACATGTAAAGGGTTATCAAAGAAAAGCAATAGGAAAGACAAGGGGGCTTGTGAATCTCCACACACCTAGTGATATCCCACACACATACACATACACATACACACACACACACACACACACACACCCCAACCAGGCTTCTGTAGGAGATAGAAATAGGTTTTATCTTGTCTGAAAACCTTTGATTTAACCACTGTGTGGTCTTGGACAAGCTTATCCACCTCTCTGTTTCACATGTGAGGTAGAATCATGATAGGACCTACCTTACAGGAGAACTAATACATGAAAAGGGTACAAAACACAGCCTCA